CACCCATTTCGGCACACCCCTCACACGTTTCGTGGCCCCACAGGGAGCTCCACCGAAGGCCCCAGTGCTGCCGCCCGCATGCGTCCCGCACACCCATTTCGGCACACCCCTCACACGTTTCGGAGCTCCACCGAAGGCCCCATGGCTGCCGTCCGCATGCGCCCCGCACACCCATGTCGGCACACCCCTCACACGTTTCGTGGCCCCACAGGGAGCTCCACCGAAAACCCCATGGCTGCCGTCCGCATGCGTCCCGCACACCCATTTCGGCACACCCCTCACACGTTTCGTGGCCCCATAGGGAGCTCCACCGAAGGCCCCATGGCTGCCGTCCGCATGCGTCCCGCACACCCCTTCGGCACACCCCACTCTCACACGTTTCGTGGCCCCACAGGGAGCTCCACCGAAGCCCATGGCTGCCGTCCGCATGCGTCCGGCACACCCATTTCGGCACACCCCTCACACGCTTCGTGGCCCCATAGGGAGCTCCACCGAAGGCCCCATGGCTGCCGTCCGCATGCGTCCCGCACACCCATTTCGGCACACCCCTTCACACGTTTCGTGGCCCCACAGGGAGCTCCACCGAAGGCCCCAGTGCTGCCGTCCGCATGCGTCCCGCACACCCCTTTCGGCACACCCCTCACACGTTTCGTGGCCCCATAGGGAGCTCCACCGAAGGCCCCATGGCTGCCGTCCGCATGCGTCCCGCACACCCATTTCGGCACACCCCTCACACGTTTCGTGGCCCCACAGGGAGCTCCACCGAAGGCCCCAGTGCTGCCGTCCGCATGCGTCCTGCACACCCATTTCGGCACACCCCTCACACGTTTCGTGGCCCCATAGGGAGCTCCACCGAAGGCCCCATGGCTGCCGTCCGCATGCGTCCCGCACACCCATTTCGGCACACCCCTCACACGTTTCGTGGCCCCACAGGGGACTCCACCGAAGGCCCCAGTGCTGCCGTCCGCATGCGTCCCGCACACCCAGTTCGGCACACCCCTCACACGTTTCGTGGCCCCACAGGGAGCTCCACCGAAGGCCCCAGTGCTGCCGTCCGCATGCGTCCCGCACACCCATTTCGGCACACCCCTCACACGTTTCGTGGCCCCATAGGGAGCTCCACCGAAGGCCCCATGGCTGCCGTCCGCATGCGTCCCGCACACACATTTCGGCACACCCCTCACACGTTTCGTGGCCCCATAGGGAGCCTCCCGAGCTCCACCGAAGGCCCCATGGCTGCCGTCCGCATGCGTCCCGCACACCCATTTCGGCACACCCCTCACACGTTTCGTGGCCCCACAGGGAGCTCCACCGAAGGCCCCAGTGCTGCCGTCCGCATGCGTCCCGCACATCAGGTGTGTGGCGTGCCGACATGGGCGTCGCGGCGCGCGGGCGCTGCCGTCGGGGTTCCCAGGGAAGCCCCCTGCAGAGGCGACGCTCAGAGTCACGAGTACCGAGAGTCACGCAGACCCAAACTGTTCACAGTCGTATACATACATTTACACTGGGCGTATCCATGCACGCATTCATGCGAATAGAATCATTCGCGCGCAGATTCATTCATAATCAGACTCGCTCGCGATCCGACTCGCACGCGCTCAAGCTTTCATATTCGGACCTATCGTCTTCGTTCGTGTTGTGTACACTGCCACGCATTTCGGCACACCCCTCATACGGCTCGTGGCCCCATAGGGAGCGCCACCGAAAAAGATATTCACAATTGCGGTACTCTCAACTGCATATGGTTGGGTCCTTCGCCAGGCTAATTTTCCCAAGGCGAAGGCAGGGAACAAGGAGGATACCTCGTCGCCCGTGACCTGCTCACCCGAGGCAGCGTGGTGCGTAGGGTGGCTGGGCCCCAGAGCCTTCACCATTGTTGCAGGTTCCTCGGCCAGACAACCACACTCAACCCTGCCGAACCAAGTGACGTGTGGTGCAATTGGGTTTGGCGCCCGGACTTCTGTCTCTCCACGAACCAGTGCGGTGATGAGGAAGACTGCCAGCTCCCCCAAGAAGGGAAAAGGGGACTCCGCTGTGCGATGCGCAAGCCACGGAGGAGAAGGGGCAGACGGCGAGATAGGGAGCCAAGAAGGGGAGGGAGGCGCATGGATACGACGCTGCTGGCGATGCCGCGCCTCAATGGGCGCGATGGCAGGCTCAGAGGACAGCAGCGAGCAGTCAGCCCATTGCCAAGAGCGGGGAGGAGCGAGGCGAGCGGAGAGAGACGAGCGAGAGAGTAAGCGGGAGTGACGACAAGAAGGCCCGTCTCCATCCTGGATCAGATCAGCTTTGGGCCCAAGATGACATGTGTACAGTCGAGGCGTTGACATAAGGAGCCCTAAACAAGGAACAAAGCTTGTTGTTCGATGTAAACTTCGATTTCCCATCGAAGACCGAAGGAAAACCGAAGGCAAACTGTAAAACCACTAAGGAACACGGAGCCCCTCCCCAACGCAAAGGGTTCCTTCTTCAGCGCCCCGGCTGTACGCCGTCCTGGCTTAGCCAGGAAAGCGCGCACAGTCGGAAAGCGGCCACAAGAGCAGGGGTCAAGAGCATGGACCGCTTCGCGTGCCCAGATCAAGCACAAGCCCCTCGTGCCAGCTTTGCACCAGTCCCGGGTCCACTTCTGGCCAGGGTGGCCCGAGGGGGGACGAGACGAGGGGTGGGGCGTCACGCGTGCGCCCTTGCAGCGCCCGCGCAAAATGTGGGGGGAGGAGGAGGAACAGAGTAAACCCGAGGTGCATCAACAATGCTGCTCTGGAGTAGGCACATACGGTGAGACAAACTGGCATCAACAGTCCAGGGCACACTCGTCCTCCATACTCAACCTTCCTGCGGTTCCTGAAGACTTCTGGCCTGTGGGGGAGGGGGGTACGAAGCTTCCGCGGGGCAGCAGCTGGCAGGACACTTTCTGATTTGACGCGCCTGCTGTACATCTTCCCGTCCCACGCCCCCTCCTCGCCACGGGGCCGCAGTCCCCGACACACTCCTGTCCCCTTGTGACTGCGAGGGCTCCCCGCCCCGCCAGGAGGAGGAGCGCCCCGAGGGGCCGCCGTCCAGACAGGAACTCCGTCTTGAACAAAACAACTTCCATCCTTCACGGGAAAAGTGCAAGTACAGTAGGGGCCCTTCCACAAGAAGCCCTCCACGAGAAACCCAAGCCCTGAGACCCCAGGGCGTCCATGGACTTTTGGCGTGGGAGCGCCGCGCTCCCCATCGCAAAACCATCGAGGCACCCTGGAGGCAAGCAGAGTGCTTCTTGGCATGGGGCCTCCACTGCAAGCGCCCGGCGCCGGAGAGGAATCGCGTTACAGCGAGGGGGC